AGTGGTTAGTTTTCAGCTTTTATTTCCTCAACGTGCAATGGGCATATCCCAGCTTTTGGTGCACAGTATTGTGATTGATTTGCAAATACTTGAAGATGTAAGGGGGATGTCTAAATATTGTAACTATAGCTAAGGATCGTCTTATCCAAAGTATTTGAGTCAGTTGTTCGCAACTGTGAACATTTCAGTTTATGACTAGTAAACTGTGTGTGCACATTTTATTGTATACAGCAGACAAGGTGCTTTTATTTATTTATTTATTTATTTATTTTTTTTTTTTTTTTTTATACAATTTATCATTGTGATCTAATAATTTTTTTTTCGAATGATAAACTATATAAAATCAAATCAATCAAAATTCGTAAATAAGTATATAGGCCATACTACAACATGTTTAACATGAAGACTCACACTAAATATTTCTGACCATAGCTCAATTAGGTCTTATGTAAATACTCATGGAGACCTACCAGACCCTATTTGTAACATACTTGATGATAGCATCGTCTAAATGCAAAAAAAAAAGGCTAAAATAAGGGAAGCCTTATTAATAAAAACAAAAAACCAGCACTCAATATCAACAATGAACATGGACACAATATCTTGACCGTGTTTTGAAAATGAAAACCTTATATAAATACATACATACAACAAACTATTTCTTGTTAACAGTTAATATATTTCAACCTTGAAAATGGCTAAATGTATAGCTGAATGCGCTTGGAAAAAAAAAGAGCAATTGGTCAGTTTTTATATAATTTATCATCTGAAAAGAAAAAAACATATCAGATCATGAGAGAAATTTGTATAAAAAAAAAAAAACTAAACCAAATTACCTTGTCTGTTGTATTCAATGAAATGTGCATGAAAGAAGGATTGCTGCCTAAATACACAGAAATAAATAAATATATGACTTTTTTGTTAACCTAAGTTCCTGTCAGACATTAATGAACTTTTTGTTCAAAAGTAATGGAAAAAAAGCATGCATTCTTATACTAAAAATGTAATTGGATAATACTTTAACGCCTTTTAACAGTTTATAGCTATAGTATAACATACAAGCTTACAAATAAACAAGTCCTAGAAAGTCATAGTAATTTTATACTGATGTATTATTTTAGAAACTTTGTTTTGGTTTACAATTTAAAAAAAAAAAAAAAATTAAACTTTTCATTATTTTTTGACGAAAGTTCATTGAATTATGATACAGGAAATCAATTATTTAACAAAAAGTCATCATAGTGAGTAGAGTGTAATGACTCGACAAGTACATGATGGATTATTAACCACATTGGCTCACTTTTTCAAAGATTCAGTTGAAGCTTATCTTTCAGGTTTTATTGATTTGTTCTTGATGCGTGTAAATCATTGTCATTTAGGTACATCATAAAAAAGTAACATCAGCTCTTCACAGGCGCAATCGACTGTTGACCTTCCAAATTCAATGGGTATGTTGCTGATGTAATGAAACAATAAGATCAACTTGTGTTGATAATAGAAAAAATTGTAATTTATCTGGACTATTAGTTAATCAAGAACCAGAAAGAGGATGCATTATGCAATGCTCTAATTCCGCTTTGTTTGTTGTGTGTCTTTTTACTTCTCAAGTTACTATAAGTATGAACTCTGCACATGACTTAGCAAATCTTCCTGATATCGTATTCAGTAATACCATGTACTTTAAACTTTGATGTGCAGTTGGCGTAATTGATAATGGCCTAGAGTTGGAAATTCAAGACTTGAGTTCCAATTCCAAATCATTATAGTCATATATATACCCATTGGAAAAGTATGAATCACCTCTTCTCTCCCAGCTATGGGTTAAGTAATAGTATTAGTAAATCATTACCAAAAAAAAAAAAATCTAAAAAGTTTGTGGCTTTAAATAACCTGCAGAGTTGATAAGCCATAAAAAAAAGAACACAAATTAGTCAGTATATCTTACTCAGTCATAGAAAAAGCAAGAGTAGTGATAGGACTGTGAGGTTTCATTTGTGGGGAAAGGGGTTGTAGAGTGGAAAACAAATTCATTTTAACTCTATCAATGCTGGGTTAAGGCTTACATAACTATAATTATTACCCCTTGTGGAGTTCTGGGGATGCAATAAGAAGCAAAATTGCTGAGGCAGCTCTTATTTCATCAAAAAAGTAATGTGTTTACATATGAGAAGGCACCAGCATTTGTTTGCTTTTTCTTTCACTTGATTATCATATTTGTTTGGCTTGTTGACATGTTCTCATTGATGAATAAAGCTATTAGTTGGTTGTTTATAAATAGCCTATATGAAGGTGAATTATTTTGTCTGTCAGGTATGTTGATGGTCGCCAGTAGCTTCCATAAAATTAGTCGGGCATGGATGATAGTCGCTTTCTACCACATCTCTAGCATGGTTATCATCTTCAACCATTTCACCATCAGTATCCATTCGAAGCCTTCAAAATCATCATCTGAGTCCTAATTAAAGAAAAAATCCTGAATAAAGGATTTGCTAGGTGTTGATGCAGCCATTTTTAATTTACAAAAATCACAAAAAAATTAATGTGGGTTTAATTGGTGTTACACCTTGTGTAGGGTCTAGAAGAATTTAAAATGGCATTGGAAAACTGATTAACTTTGTTCCAAGGCAGTAGTAAGTGATTTCCAGCTTAAAATACCAGAAATAACAGTTGACAAGTGTTTATTTATAGTGACAGAATGCGCCTAGTGTAGCGAAGCGAGAGAATTCTTTGGCGACAATTTTTGCCTGCAGTATGGTAAAAGTTACTACAGTTGTTCCCAGGTCCAGCTAACCTGGAGTGGTAGCACCTGTTAGTGTCCCAGCTGTGGGCAAATAGTTCACCCCTAAACTGGGGTCAAAACAATGAAAGTGTAAAAATGGGTTTTTATAGTAAAAATACCAGTAATACATTTTTGGAAAAATGAAAACAAAAATTGCTGGCAATACATTTCTCAAACACTCTTTACATAAATACATCAATGAAACCTGATCTACAAACTGATTTCTTACAAAGGATGCATATTCTATTCATACAAAATTATTCTATCTTGTCGCCATTAAATGACCCATTGAAATATTGATATGTTGTAAAACAAATCAAACTGTAAGCTGGGAAAGTGCTGCTGCATACTCACAAAGTAACAAAATGAAATGAGAATGCAAACCCTGTCCCCTATGTGATATGTAGATGTATTATTCAGGGCTTCTCCTGCTTATCTTAGGCAGGTGATATTTTGGAAGTCTTCTATCAATCTCATAGATCAACACTTCTCCACTACCAACTCCTCACCCATCTACCCATTTCAATGTATGGTCAGCAATATTGAACAGGTGGTATTGGAACTGTGTGGTGAAATGTGTGGTCTTATCCCAAGGGCGGACCAGAACTGACTATCCAATCACAAGCATGATTTAATATAGACCAGCACTATTTCTGATTTTGTTATCGCTTGGTTTCCAGAACCCTTCATCGACTCCTTTACTTTCCTGTTCTACTTTGGTTAAAGTAGATACTGCTTAGAAAATTAGACTAAAAAAAAAAAAGCCACCTGTTGGCTATAAAACAAACACTAGGGATTGAGAAAAAAAAAGAAAAAACATGTCTTCCTTTGCTACTTTAGTATCCATACTATCATACAAAAATGGCTTATTCAAATTGTTGGCAAACATTTATGCTGTGGATGCCGTTTGCAGAAGGGAATGAAGGGATAAAATGTTTCTGTTTGATGGACCAACAGGTACTTCCTTTTGAGTTTGCCTTCAAAGCAGTATCTACTTTGAAAAAAGGGTGAAGGGAATTTTGGAGATCAAGTGATAACAAAACCGGAAATGGGATATATCCAGGTGTTGGCCTCTATTAAGTCATGCTTGGTATTGGAGTGTACATGAGAGGTGACTTTATGTCAAGAGGCTGGTTCCTTTTGGAATTCCTTCTAAGTGCCATTCACTTTGAATGGGAAGTAAAGGAGTGGATGAGGGGTTTTTAGAGATCATGTGGTGACAAAACTGGAAATAGGGTATGTAAGGGTACTGGTCTATATTAATTCATGCTGGTCACTTTTCCCAAATTAAGAGGTAACAGACTATAAAAAAAAACGTGGTACCAACTTCTCAAAGTCTGTCTTTAACTAGAATCTGAAAACAAGTTATACAGCTTATATCATTCTAATACAGTAACCCCCAGAGCTAAGAGACACCAGCCTTTTAGGGTTCAGTTTTCTCAGCAGCATCCACTTTAACCACCGAAGGAAAATGGGAAGTAAGGGGATTTTTAGAGATCAAGGGGCAACAGCCGGAAATAGGGTATATTTGAGTGCTGGTTCGTCCTTGGTGCTAAACTAACGTTTTAGTACTACAGTTGTAAAGCTGCAATTTTGTATTGCCAGCCATGAGGTCGATAAGTTGATGGGGAAGAGCTTACTTAACAAAAATCTGAAGTATCACCTACCTACCAACCCAGAAAAATGAGCAAAGCCCTGAATAAAGCATCTAATGTGGAAAAGGGAGTTTGCGTTCTTATTTCCCGACAGTGTTTTTCTTTTGTGTTACCTTGTGAGCATGCAGCACGCTCTTCCCCAGCTTTTGCTAAAATCGAAGGTTGGAATGTGGGGTAATCATTGGCCAGTTGTTGGAGAGCTTGGGAAAGATTTGCATTGTATGTTTACAATATAATGTCTGTGTGTCCTAATCTTTTAAGTTGTTTATTTTTATGTGTCAAAAATATGTACTGACTTTGTCAATTCCCCTATGTCTAGTAGTCATTTTTCCAGTATTTATTCTTATTTAGCTGTTTGTTCATTGTGACGTTAAAATGAATTTTTTTTTTTTTTTTTTTTTTTTTTTTTTTTGTCTTGACAGCATTATAAAAAAAGTATTCAGCTGTTTATTCATTGTGACATTAAAATAAACATTTTCTCTTTGCAGATTAAAGATTCCTATGCTGGTTATCCATTGAACATGTTTTGTGTTCCAAAACATTATGAGAATGATTTGAATGATATCATGATTCCTGCTGGTCTCATTAATGACAGGTGAGATAGAAATTTTGTCAGTATTAAGTGATTAACCTATTGACACCTGAAACCTGACTCACAAGTACATTTTGGTGGGGGGTCACTCTTTCTGAACTGCCTGTGTCATATATATATATATATATATATATATATATATACACACACACACAAAAAGAGAAACAAATGGCAAAGTTTTCTTTACTAGTGCGTTTCATCCCCCGAGGGACTTTATCAAGGTAAATGGAAAGATTTTATTCTTCAAAGTGCATTTATAAACAAGTAAAATTGGTCGGGAGCGGTATTAAGGTTTTAAAATTTATGAGTTGATTTGAGAATGATAGACTTATTAAAAGAGAAAATAACTCGGTGGAAAGTTCTTGGGAGTGCAACTATGAGTTCTTGCCAAAATGTTAACTTGCACAATGGATTTTTTTTTTTTTTTTTTTTTTTTTTTTTTTAAATATCTCCTTTCAGAAAAATACTCCTCTCCCAAGCCAACATATATGAAAGAAACTTTTTTAAATTAAAGGAAAACTTAACAAATAACTTATCAAATTAAAATAATTCCAATATTAATTAATTAGAGTGAGAGAGAGAAATGGATAAATTGTTATCTAAATTTCACAACAATGAAAATAACGCTGACATCTCATTTTAACAGATATATTTACCAAAATTACACAAAAATATCTTGAAATACTAAAGAGTAAATTTATTCAATAAATTGCCATTGGGTTTAACTACGGCCTTCAGACGCCTTCAGAATCTCCTGCATTTCTTCTGGACAGTCTTCATGTTTAAGTTGGTGAATGCTGTCATAATCCTTGCCTTCAGTTCATCTTTGGTGTTACAAGGAGTTTTGTTGGTCTCTTGCAAAACTGTGCCCCACACATAATCAAGGGAGTTGCAGTCTGGGGAGTTAGGTGGCCAGATGGAAGTGGGTGATGTGGTCACAGAAATTATCTGGCAGCCATGACTGGGTTCTTCTGTTTGTGTGGCATGGTGCAGAGTCCTGTTGTCAGATATAGGGTCTTTCAGCAGTCACCCTCTTGACTCGGAGCAGCACTACCTCATCAAGGCATTGGATGTATGCCTCTGTGTTTAGTCTAAGGCCCTGTTGTAAGATGACTGGAGGCGTAATGTCACTATCACTAATGATCACTTCAAACATCTTCATAATCACCATTAGACTCCTCCAACTCTTTCCAGATCCTTTGCTCTATCCTCAGGTTGACACCAAAACACTATAAAATGTTTGTATTGGAGCTTCCAGCATGAATGCCCAGCAGTACAGCATGCCGTCTCCAAATTTCTGGCAGTGAATTTCATCACGGTGCTCTTTTCCTCATAAATGGTGCCCCACTGAGCCTGCTATACTGTGCAGTCGACAAAATCAAAAACAACAACGCATACGCAAAATTAAAAATAGGAAATCGCACCATATATAGATATAGATAGATATAAGGCAATCTTTGTTTTACCTCAACATAGGGGCTGAAGATAGACTATCCCTAAGTGTCTGTCTTGGAGCACCAAGTACATATGCTCTGTTAAAAGAAAAACATAGAGTTCTCTGTGGATCAGTTTTAATAATTATTACTAGCATCCACCCGGATTATATAGCAACGGATTGATTACCTGTACTAATATATATATATATATATATATAAACGACCTGGGAGAGCTGCAAGATGATTTAAAAGAAGAAAAAAAAAAACAAAGAAAAACATTTTCTGGCAGGGTTAAAATCAAGTGAAAAAGAACTAGTAGACACAACCCCCACATGCAAATGTAAAATATAACAAAAATTCTTAATTTTACACAAAACGATTTTAGACAAAGAATATTTGAATGTAAACAGTTGGCAACAAAGAGGCTCTGAATGTCAAAAGAAAATCTATGAGGTGTTTGTGTGTATGTTGATATAGTTCAAAAGAAGAAAAAAAAAACTTAGTTTGGTTCACTTGACTGAAATTAAATTCATTTCTTTTTTTCTTTCTCTCTTTTTTTTCCCCCTACAAGAGTAGAAGAGAAAACTCTTCTACTCTTGTTATATATTTCTCCTTTCTCTTTTCCCTTTTCTCGTTCTTTTCTTTTATATATTCAACACCTTGGTCTTTGGTAGAAAAAAATGTTATTTCCCTTTTTCTGGCCGCCTTTAGTAAGGTTGATTTCTTTACGGTTTTGTATGAACTTGATCCTGTCAATTGTTTCTGATTTCCCTGAGACTGGGAGTTTGTATGAGTTGGAGGCAGCATTCCTTCTCTTCAGTTCAGTGAATCCATTCGTCTGATGGCTTTGGGGGGGTCGTCTGACTTACTCAAAATTAGTTTCCCCAACTGATTTCTTTTTATTCATGATTTTAAATCTTATTTTTAGTATGCACAAGGCATGGTTGCTGAGGTCAATCCTTCATAGACCACGGGCTTTTGCCTAACTGATTTTAGCTTACACACACAAAGAGAGCCTGGGATTGGTATGTACGCGTTTTCAACCTGAATTTTTACAGTTAGTAAGTTCATGTCATTTTAATAATATGAAATCTGCAAATAGTTGTAAAACCAGTTGATAGATTTTGATTGAACCCACAATACTTAGTCCATTCCCCCTCTTTACTGCCAAAAACTGTTTTTGGCAACATGAAATCCAGGAAGAAAATGTAAGCCATATTCAACCTTGTTCTCAATTGTTTTTTTTTTTTTTTTTTTTTTGTGACCTGAATTCTAAACAAATTTGGTGGGTGGTTGGCATTTTTTCTTTAAAAATGGGGAGAAAAAAAATCGGTCTAAAAGCAGAAACAGAAGTGTCTCTTAAGTGGAGGTTCAATTGATGATATAATTATAACACTAAACTGTACCCCGATTTTGTGTCCACTTCTATATGTCAAGGTTTTTTTCTTTTCTTTTTTTTTTTTTAAGATGGAAAATTAAGAATGTTGTCTATCTAAATTTCTGAGATGAGGTATTTTAGCTATTTACACTATTTACATCGTTCAGACTGTTGTTCATATCTTCATTGTTACATTCCTGAGGTTTCGGCTGTTGTATGCTCCAGCTTTCTTCAGGATCTGTCTATATTTCTAAGATAAGGTATTGTAACTATTTACACTATTTAGACTGTTGTCCTCATCTTTGTCATATTCACGAGGCTTCGGCCATTGTAAGCTTCGGCTTTCTTCAGAATCTCTCTATATTTCTGAGATGATGTATTGTAATTATTTACACTATTTACATCATTCAAACTGTTTTCCTCATCTTTATTGCCATATTCACAATGTTTAGACATGAATATAACGTGGGAACCAGTAATACACAGAACTATAGAAAACAACAATAACAAAAATTGTAATATGAGCTCTGTTAAAAAAAAATGTTACTGAGAGAGTTAGCATAAGTCCCAAGAATTCATACACTGATGGCCCAGTTGATAAGTGTTGGTTGAAGTAATCCAGTGACTTGACCCAAAGAGTTGTGAATTCAATACGTGTCCACAGCAAAAACTTGGAGAATAAGAGCATTTAGAATAATCTACACTGTGGTTTGGTTTGAAATTCCAACGTATATCATCTGAAGAAGGCCGGGGTGTACAATGACTGAAACATCGTGAATATGGCAATAAATATGAAAACAACAGTCGTGTTCACATATTTGTTTTGATAACAACAAAGATGGGTATAATGGTCTAAAAGAACAAGACGAGAACAATAGTCTAAAACAACAAAGATGGGGTTAAGTCTCATTTAAATTTAGAAAAGATTTTGTGCATTTTTTTTTTTTTTTTTTTTTTTTTTTTTTTTGCATCATTTGGTATTGATTTCAAATTTGCTTGTCTTTTTATTTTTTTATTTTTTTTCTCCTCCACCCACAAGTTAACTTGCTTGTGAAGGTAAGCAGCTTTCTTTCCAGGATGGGAGGTGTGATGGAGGGTAGTGTAATTAAAGCTATCATTCATGGTTCTCTTGGTCTAAGAACTGGTGTAGAGAACTTAAGAGGTATTCTTCTATCGGACAAGTGTTGCTGCCATACATGACGTGCTGCCTTTTATTGGAGAGATGAACAGACAGCTGATGCCAAAATGGTTTTTAGCAAGATAAGAATCCACTCTTCCAGAATAATGGCTTGTCTGCCTCTGCAAAAACTGTCATTGTCATTTATTGAACCAACAAGATGGAAAAGTGCTTGCAATATTAAAATAATCTCTATATTATTACTGTTGTATTAGCCCACGTAAAGTATGCATCGCATTTCAAAAGGCAGGGAGGAAAAAGAAAAGAAGCTTCAGCTTCGTACAAAGATAAAGTAAAAGTAATACACACAGGACAGATTTTCTTTTCTTTTCTCCTTTTCACCTTTCTCTGGCTTTCTTATTTACACTCTACCTACCCACCGCCCCCCCCTCTCTCTATATATATATATATATATATATATATATATATATATGATGAATTGGATTATGATTCCAATGTAATAAAATGAAATATTAGTATTTGAGATTTTTATATTCTTACTCTGTCCTGGGCATTGAGTTCTACCTGGATTCTATCCTCTTGGAAATATATATATATATATATATATATATATATTGGAGAAACAAGTTCATTACATTCATATACAGGGTGTATTGGCTAAATTGTCATTTTTATATTTTTTAAATTTTTTTTTTTTTTTTTTTTTGTCAACCTCACTTTATAGTCAGGTCAGTTGGGCACCATCTGTGAGAAAAAGAACACCATGATGCAATTCCCTCTGCCAGAAATTTAAAAATGGCATACAGTACTGCTTGGCATTCATGCCAGAAGCTCTAATATGAACGTTTCAGTGTTTGGGTATAAACTGAGGACAATACAGAGGATTTGGAAAGAGTTGGATGATGTATCCAGTTAACATCATGGCGTTTGGAGTGATTGCTAGTGATATCGACATTATGCCTCCATTCATCTTCCAACAGGGTCTCACACTCAATATGATGACTTACATCAAGTGCCTTGAGGAGGTAGTGCTACCCTGGTTCAAGAGGGAGACTGCTGGAAGACCCTATGTCTGGCAAGAGGACTCAGCACATGTCACGGTCAAGAAGGGGTGTCCAGTCATGGCTGTCAGACAATTTCTGTGACCACATCAACCTTTACATCTGGCCACCTAACGCCCCAGACTGCAACCCCCTTGATTATTATGTGTGGGGCGCAGTTGAGCCAGGGATCAACAAACCTCCTTGTAACACCAAAGATGGACTGAAGGAGAAGATTATGGTCACATTTATCAACTTAAACAAGGAGACTGTCCAGAAGAGTTGCAGGAGATTCTGGAGGCTGTGGTTCAAGCCAATGGTGATTTTTTTTTTTTTTTTTTTTTTTAATATATAGATAACTTTGGAAAATATATCTGTTAAAATGGAATGTCAGTTTTCATTTTTGTGTCATTCAGGCAATTTATCAATCGCATCTTGTACAGTGCCCCCACCCACCTTCACTTTTTTTTTTTCTTTTTTTTTTTTTATAAATGTCACAGTTGACAAAAACCAGGTTGGTTTTGTAATACCTTTTGGCTTTACAATATTTGAGCCACAAGTGTTGTTTTTTTTTTTGTTTTTTTTTCATCTACTGGTGATTGGTAGATACTTGTTTAGTCATCTTGCTAACATTTAATTTACCTAAGAAACTTTTTAAATGTTGGAAAAAAATATAGTGTCTATACAGTGACTTTATCTACCTTCACCAACCTAAAGAAAAAAAAAAAAGTTACAAGATGTTACCCCCATGTAGGACTTGAAAATTTGGGTTGTATGGATGTTTACATTAGGCGTATCTGATTTTGCCTCGTTGAGTTTTCATTTCTACAAGATGGTGATTTTTTTTAAATTTAAAAATTTTTGATTATTAGAAAATTTTAAAAAAATCTTAATTTTAAGATTTGTTTTTTAAATTTAAAAAAAAAAATTTTTTTTTTTTAAATTTTTGAAATGCTTAGTGATGCAATGGCATCAGAATGAGAAATGAAATAGCCGAGTTCAAATTCCAATCGGGTTTGTTAACATTCACTTCTGTGCAAATAAAGAAAGGTTTGAATTCCTCTCTTCTCAGCTGTGGGTTGAATAGACAGGCTGAAAATAAATATCGACTCTACCCACCAAAAAAGAAAGAAAAAAAAAAAAGCAGGTGGGTGGAAATTTGCATATAATGGGAGGAGAAATTGGTTGGCAACCAGTCTGCCTCAGAAAGAAATGGGAAATCTTTTGTCTTGTCAGTCATGAATTGAAAGAGACCAGATCACCAAAGTGTATAATGGCATATGATACTTAACTATTGAAATCAGACCCCATCTTGTCTAAGCTAGCAGAAGAGCTTGCCATATTGGGATCAGTGAATGATTTCAGAAATCTCAAAAGAAAGATGTTGAAATCACAATTTTATCTTTTTTATACAAAAGTTTTTTCTTGTGAAATTGACAGGGATTATCATTATTTAAAATTTTAAGTGAATTTAATTATTTTCCTCTGTGATACATTTCTTTTTAACAATGAACATAATTGTTTGTAAAATTTAATTTTTTAATGAATAATTTTTTGCTAAGGTATTTTAAAAAGCTGTTGAATTTTAATTTTACTTTTCTTCAAAAATAGAAGACAAAAATGTGAATTTTTGCACAACGAAATTAATGAAAAATGGCATGAAGAATTTTTGTCACTACAACTTATATTTTCTTAAGTTGTATTAAGATGATTAACATACAAATTGGGTTTTTTTTTTTTTTTTTTTTTTAGCTTCACTCGCCTGTGTTGATATGGATTTTAAATTCCTACTGACTTCCCATTACCATTCAATTTTCATAACACTAGCATTTCCCAAGCCACACGTTAGCCTCTAAACTTTTTCCTTTCCCACTCCCTTTCCCTTTCCCCTTCCCCTTACACAAGCCAAATCAAAATATGCAATTCTTAACTTATGTCCATAAATGCAGATGTTGAAAAAGAACAGAACTAACAAAAATGGATATTTTTTTTTTATGCTCATCGAAGCAGTTTCTTTGAGTTCCTTGAATCTTCTAATTCCAGAATTGAACGAATCGCCCGGGATATTGTCCATGAACTTGTCTTGCAGAACAATGTTGGTATTGTTGTTCTCTGTGTCTTAAAGGGAGGCTACAAATTCTTCGCCGATCTCTTGGACAAAATCAAGCAGTTGAATCGAAATAGTGAAGAGTCTGTTCCTCTGGCTATTGACTTTATCCGCTTACAAAGCTACAAGGTAAGCCCTCCTCGCTAATTTCCAAAGAAACCTCACATTGCAAAAATAAGCCTGAAACTTTCATTACAAAAACTTTGATATTTTCACTTTGGTTTTAATGACCAACAATTTTATTGCTTCATTTATTTGCAGAATGATAAATCCCAGGGGGAGATTCAAGTCATTGGCGGTGATCGACTAGAAAACCTAAAAGGAAAAGTATGCCCTCAAAGTTTTTGTTTGTTTGTTTTTTTTTTGATCCTTAAGCATGAAAACTTTCTGCATTTTCTTGTGAATTGTCATCTACTAGTTGGTGTAAATGTTAGCAGAACAATTATGACTTTTCATCAATGACCTTTTCTATGTCATCAGTTCTTGAGTTTGTTGATGACACAACTATTTAATCCTGTCTTAATAGTATAGTGGTAAATATACACATACATATGCAATGATATGAATATATATACACAAACATACATATGCAATCATATAAAAATATATATATATATATATATATATAATAATTCCAAGAGGATAGAATCCAGATATAACTCAATGTCCAGGACAGAGTAAGGATATAACAAAAAGGCTTAAACACTAATATTCCATGGTCATAATTTATTCCATTGGAATCATAATTATGATCCAATTCATCAGACCTACAAATTCAAAAAGAAAACAGAAAAAACAACTCCGGGAATAAAAAATAAAATTTAGTAAGAGTGTATATATGAGAGAGTGGGACAAATGTTAGAGTAAATGAAAGCTGTAGTGAGGGATAACAGATGAGAGAAGAACAGGAAGGTCTAAAGATGAACGGAATTTAACAGAGAAGTTCGTCACTTCCTTTTTTTTTCCATTTTTTTGAGAAGAAAAAAAAATATATAGGTGATGGAGTGAAACAATAGTGCTTGTTGATAGCAGTTTGGCGAAGAATGGATTGGGTGTTTCATGTTGGCTGGTCTGTGGAAATTTTCCTGCTGATAAACACCGGTCAAAAGTCCAGGCACATCATCTCACAAGCGTCCTAAGAGTGAGAGGTAGGGGAGGAAAGATGGAGATAGGGGGATAGTATTATGTTTTAATAGGTAAAAATTGTAGTGATAATTCTAGTAGTAATTGGGAATGTTATTTTTTGGTTTACTATAAAAATACTAGAGCTGAATTGCATGTATTTATGTTGGGGTTATCACTACTAATTCTGTAATCAATGAACGTGTTTTGTGGATTAAAATTTAGAAGTGGTGATTTCCTCTAAAAAAAAAAATAAAAATAAAATATATATGTGTATATATATATATAAGGAATATTAATATAACCTTTTATAATCAAATTTTGAAATATTCCTGGACTGTATAGCGTATATAATAAGTATGGGTGTAAAAACAATTTATCTGAAAATATTACCAGTAATATATATATATATATATATATATATATATATATATAATTTAAGAATCATAATTTAATTAGTGGAGAGGTACATAAGAGGGTAGGGAATATATCAAAGGAGGTGATTTAAAATTTTAAAACGTTTATAGTTATGGAATTAAGAATTTATCAAGATTGTAGTGTTAGATCCTTAGTATGTCTACAGAAAATAGTTGTTTCATATCTTTGATTTAATAATTGGGTGTTATTCAAGAGTTCAATGATACATATTTTCTCCTGTAAACATAAGAAGCAAGTTTGCTCAGAGAATTGCAGGTTCTGGCTTGTCTTAGGATTTTCCATTTAACCTTATGTGTTTTTCCTTCCTTGAGTTTCCAAGAATACTTCGAAAGTGATGTCATATTTTGTTTGGCCGTATTTGTAAAGGAGTTCATGTGATTGTAATACCTATCCTTAAAGGGTCTGCTAGTTGACCCCACATACAGCTTAATATCTCTGGGGTTCTTATTTGATGAGATATAGCACATATACACTATGGATTTGGTTAAGTACCTGTTTAATAATGGACATTGATCAGGGATTCTACAATTACATAGCCTTTTTCCTGGGGTGTATTAGAACCTGTATTTAGGTTGTGTTTATTATCTCTATAAAATTTCAGTGTTCTATTGTTATGTGATTTAATAATTTTATCTAGATTTCTAGAACAGCTATAGCTAATTTTTAAGGTATTGCGGTTGAAGATCTGGCTTAATTTACTCTCCATAGGGAATTAGATTTAAGGATTTGTGTCCTAATTTGGTACGGACTAATTTGTTGAAAGGATGTGTATACCAAATTATTCTCCTTCCTCTATTGTGGTTTTTTTTTTTTTTTTAGAATAACTACAATTTTCTCTATATTTAATTTCAGAAGATCTGTAACTGCTGTCAGTAAGGATTTTGTTATAATTTTGTGTTTATCGAATATTTCCTTGCTGGAAGAGTGCTTGTTTATACGGCGTTCAATGGATGATGGGATATGTTTAATAACTGGCGTTGGATGATTGGGATTAGGGTTTTTTTTTCAAGAGGGGTTGGAAATTATTTAAGGTTAAGTTTAAGGTTACATCTAAGAAGTCTACTTGTTTTATGTTAGAATTAATTTTAACCTTGAGGTGTAAAGATTTAAACACTCTATGAATCCATTTCCTCGAATTGTCAACTTTGCTTCCGGTAGAATTATTCACTACCATCGTCTCTATAAATCCCTATATTATTTAGACTAATTTCATTGTGAACTGTGAGATTCTATAGAATAAACAGTCTGACTAAGTCTGATGATTCAGCAGAATCCAGTGATCCCATCGATACATCAAAGTTTTCACCAGATTTTTTTATCCATTGTTCGTTGTTGTGTATCATAATTGATTTCCTGCAATTTAGGATGATGTCAATTTCATCCTTAGAAATATCGGAGTAAAACTCTGCAAACTCCAAGGCTGTTTCAAAAAGGTCTTTAGATATTGATGGATAGAAGTCCACGATGTCAAATTGGATGAAGGTACTGCTGTTTTTGTTATTGAGGCTTTTAAACCAATCAATCACTTCTGCAGTGCCTACCCATTGGATTAGGCCGAGCTGACTCTTTTTTGTTTTCATGTTCCAGGATCGTTTTACTAATTCTCCCGATTTCAAATTTGGTTGGGTTGATAATGGTTTTGTCTATATGATAAAATTATAATAAATAAATAAATAACTATTGCTCTGCTATAGGTATTGAGCCCTCTTTTCGATTAATGCTGTGAACATTGGAATTTATATATTACTTTTGTCCTCATCGCATCGGGTATATATATATATATTCATACACGTTTCATTAAATAATATATACAAGTGTTGTCTATTTTATGTAAATTTTTTTCGTAACTTCAGTTTAATAACATTATCGTTGAACGAAGAAAGAAATTCACAATATGGATCCATATTTTTTTTAATATAATCTAAGCTTTCGGCTTACTTAAGCCATTATCAAAGCTATCAATTACAACATATTAAGCAGTATACGGACAAGACAGTGATGATAGTCTGTCAATGTTTACATAGATGATTTCTAAGCAACGATAGACACGCATATAAGATGCTAGAAGCGAAAATCGCACCACATCTCATGGTGTCACACATGACCACACGAGAGTGAATTGGAGAATGAAGTATGGAAAGCCGTTGGTATAAACCAATAGCTTCTGTTACCAATTATAGACATTTAAAAATATTTGTAGAGATGCCATAATTGATTTTGTTTAGGTTGGGTTTCAACTGTTTGATGTATAATGATTCAAGGATTTTTAGTTTTTGTCTATTGTTTTCAACAAGTATTTTATTGAATTGTGTGTGCGGGCAGGCATGTTGTTTTAAATGCCTAAAAATATTATATATATATATATATATATATATATATATATATATATATATATAGAGAGAGAGAGAGTAAAGGTAATAAATCCTAAATCCTAGTAATATAAAATATTAAAACTGATCCCCTAAAAGATCTCAATGTATTATTACAGCCAATAAATAGTATTACACAACAAAATCCAAAATGACCTCATATATTTAGATCTATTTCAGCCGGCAAAAAACTTTGTCAGTCTTATTCAGCACCTGTGTACAGACTGAGTTTGTGTCGGAATGAACTCAGTATGTACACTGGGGTTGAATAAGAATGACAAAGTTTTCAGCAGTTCAAATAGATCTATCCCCCATATGAGGTAATTGTCATATTAGATGTTAGCTCTATCACTGGTATTGAGCACTTTCCAATAAGTAACGCGTATATATAATATATAAATAATTATATATAAAAATTGCATCTATATAGGATACAGCAAATGTCAGTTAAAGTTTACATTTTTCTATTTGCATTTGTCTTGCAGTGTGTGCTTGTTGTGGAGGATATCATTGACACTGGACGTACCATGATCAAGCTGAAAGAATTGTTAGCAAAGCATGAACCAGAATGTGTGAAAGTAGCCAGGTAAGTTCAAATGATGACAATTTGACTTTCGCACAATCATTTCCAAACACATCTTTGTTTGCATGTTTGGTGACTTTGTGGGTTTTTTTGTTTAGTTTTTATTGACTTTTTTTTTATAATTTGCAATCCTTCAAAGACAATTTGAAAATCCCATGTATCTGCCATATTCCTTTCACCATTTCAGCAAGTAACGATCTTGACAGAACAACATAGCCATAACATTCTGTGTCCCCCTTTTTGGGCTGAATTGAAAACAAATTTAATTTTGTGCATTCATTGCAAATTTATGAAATTCTTAATATTTGGGATGAAATAGGGAGTGGGGTATGTGCCATCAATTAAAGTGATTTTGATGAATTTTCTTGTAAGTAAACAGTCAAATATTGACGTCTTTCTCTGACAACATACACACACACACAGCAAGTCACTTGGAGTTGGCAGTAATCCTTTATTTAAATTACAGTTTTTCTGTTTCTGGTGTTTATCCCCATCTATGGGTTAAATAACTGGGTAGATTGGGGTCTTTAGCTTTGGCTGGAGATTAGCATAAGAAAGAATTCCCAACTGTAGAGAAGAAATGGACCCTGAATAGATTTGATTATCTATGTCCTCATGGGGCTTGACATTAAAAAAAAAAAAAAAAAAGTGGGTGGGAGAGGGAAAAAAAATGGTTACGGCTCTATGGTTGTGACATTTAAGCTGCTGGACAAACTTGTCGATAAGAGCCTTGCTTTACTGGAATGTCTTTTTGTAGCTTAATGGTAAAAACATGCTCGGCTTGGAGGTTCTTTATCATGGTATTTCTGAGATGATATATTGTAACTATTTTACTCTCTGTGAACAGTTGTCCTCATCTTTGTCATATTCACAACGTTTCAGCTGTAGTACACTCTGGTCTTCTTCAGGTGATGTACATTGAAATTTTGAACCAAACACTTTATTTCATCTACTGGGGTAGATTGTTCTCGTTTGACGTGCCATGGCTCAGTGGTTAAAAGCGTTGGTTGATGTAATCCAGTAACTTGACCCAAAGAGTTGCGAGTTCAATACCTGGCCGCAGCAGAGGTGAACAAAAACTTGTTGTGTTACTAAAGGGAATTAAAAAGAAGAGGCATTGCACATGGAATTAGAACAATCTGCCTACAGGGACTAAATAAAGAGTGCAGTTTGAAATTACAAAATACATCACATGAAGAAGGCCAGAGCATACAATAACCAAAATGTTATGAATATGACAATAAGGATGACACCAGTTCGAACAATGTAAATAGGAAATGCAGGCTCAATTACTTTCAAGAGTCATATGTCTTTGATGATAAGACTTTTCAATCTCAAGACTGGTAGATATTAAATTTCTCTATTTTAAAAAACAATAGATGTCTACTCCTATCTATGTACACCCCCTAAACAGAATGTTTATAGAGGTTGTGTGTCCTTTATCCAAAACTAGCAGTAGAGCCTGGTGTTGCCTGGGGATGTAACAGTAAGGGATAGATCAAGTATCGACCATCATAAAGACTGAAAAATAAAATTGACAAAGATTGTTTAAGGTTTTTTTTTTTGTTTTTTTTTTTTTTTTATGAATTGTTCAAACCCAAGCTCAAACAAAAACATTGTTTTCAATCGTTATGAGTCTACCGATTGAATAGAATTTTATTATAAACAATTGTCTTGTAAATGGAATTTTTAAAGCATTCTGAATGTAAAAATAAAGAAAAAAGTGTGCAAGACAATAAGAAACACTACCTGCCAAAAAAAAGTGAAATTTTGTTGAAATCGATTGAAAAATGTAGGAAATCCAATCCCATATATAAGTGCACACACACACACACACACACAAACAACCAACCTGGGTTTTATAATAAGTATAACTCGATATGAGTTGTCCCCCTTTCATTAATGCCTCTTAATGTGTTTTCAAATTGATTTCATGCAAAAACAATTTTTTTTCCAATTTTTGGTGCTGTCAGAACCACCGCAAGGTAATTTTATGCAGTCCTGTGAAGTTTTGTTGAAAAATGTAGGGAATCCAATCCAATATATAAACATACAGACACACACACACACACACACACACACAACCTGGGTTTTATCTTATAAAACGCAGATTGTGTGTGCGTGTCTGTACGTTTATATATTGGATTGATTTCCTACATTTTTTCAACCGATTTCAACAAAAACTTCACAGGACATGTAAAATTACCTTATGTGGTTCTGACAGCGCCTAAAAATTGAAAAAAAACACAAATTGTTTTTGCACGAAATCAATTTGAAAACATGAAACACAATTCTGTCGCCAGAATGAAAGGGGAGCAACTCATATTGAGGTATACTTATTATAAAACCCAGGTTGTTTGTGTGTGTTCGTTTATATATGAACGCTTCTTTGTGGCCAAATCAGTAAAGGAACGTCAAGCTAAATGGTGGTTCTGTATAGGATACAGGTTCAAATCCTGTTGGAGGATGAATATTTTCTGTGAAAATTTCTTGAGCATTCAGGCCGGTAAATGTTGTTTAATACTGTTTATTATAAACAGAGCATTTACTTAAATATTTGTATCTATAAAAAGGATGTTTAACATAAAAATGCCTTAAAATAATTGTCGGACTTTGTCCATTTTTGTCCATTTATTATATATATATATATATATATATATATATATATATATATATCTGTGTGTTTGTGTGTGTATTTTTAAGTAGTGATCATGTTTTTTACATGTACAGAAAGTACAAAACATTATTTTTACATGAAATCTTAATTTCACCACTTAGGAACCCATGTAAGTATTATATGATTAGTGTCATTAATTGTATCTGTATGTACAAAAATTGTAAATTTTATATAAAACTCTATTATTGATTTAAAAACTGCCTTCTGGGTATGTGTATACACTGTTTTGAAATGTAAAGGGATATTATACCTGGATTCCATTCCCAAGCTGACCCATTTTATAGATACTATATAGAAGAAATTAAAATGAAATAACCTGTATTTCGAACTCTAAACCCAACAAGTTTGGATAAAGGGGTCTCAACTTGTATTAATAAGAAATAATGCTGGATTGACAAACAAACAAAAACTTGTAAAAATGCTTGATTCCATTGGTGAAGTTGAATCAAAAGAACAAAAACTTGTAATTCCAACAGGTACTTTATTGTTAAAACACATATATCTGCTTTAACAATAAAAAAGAAAATATTGTTTAAAAATTACTTTGTTTATATTTTGAGTATGAAAATAAACTTAAGGTGACACTATAGAAGTTGAGTATGAAAATAAACTTAAGGTGACACTATAGAAGTTGAGTATGAAAATAAACTTAAGGTGACACTATAGAAGTTGAGTATGAAAATAAACTTAAGGTGACACTATAGAAGTTGAGTATGAAAATAAACTTACGGTGACACTATAGAAGTTGAGTATGAAAATAAACTTAAGGTGACACTATAGAAGTTGAGTATGAAAATAAACTTAAGGTGACACTATAGAAGTTGAGTATGAAAATAAACTTACGGTGACACTATAGAAGTTGAGTATGAAAATAAACTTAAGGTGACACTATAGAAGTTGAGTATGAACTAGAAAGTTGAGTATGAAAATAAACTTAAGGTGACACTATAGAAGTTGAGTATGAAAATAAACTTAAGGTGACACTATAGAAGTTGAGTATGAAAATAAACTTAAGGTGACACTATAGAAGTTGAGTATGAAAATAAACTTAAGGTGACACTATAGAAGTTGAGTATGAAAATAAACTTAAGGTGACACGTACAAAGGGATGGAGTGGTTTTATCTTTCGTTCAAGTGTTCTGTTTGATGGACCAGTGGATGATGGTACCTTTTTGAAGTTCAGTCTTTTTAAGTGGCATCCCCTTTAACCAAAGAGCAATAGAAAGTAAAGCGGGTGGGTGAGGGATTTTTAGAGATCAATTGACAACAAAACTGGAAATAGGCTACATATGGGTGCTGGTCTGTATTAATTCCTGCTTGGGATTGGGGTGTATTTTGGTCTGCCCTTGGCAGAAGACAGACATGTCTGTGTCAAGGTTCTAAGGCTTCTGTTTTGTATTGCTAAGCCACTATGTCAAAAAGATGAAAAAGGATATGGGAACCAGAATTTGCTTTCTTGATGTGCCGTTTGTCAGTCATCAAGTTACCTTGTCGGTATGCGACACATTTTTCCCCAACTTTTGGTGAACACTGAAAAGATCAATGATCATTGTTAACTGTTGTTTATTGTAACTGGTATAATCGGTTATTCCCCTTCGTCAATGTAATGGACTAATCCTATCAGCAGTAGCAGCAGTAAAAGCATAGATATTGTCCCCTCCTTTCCAGGGTGGATTGAGCCTTTAGATAATATTTCAACTGTTGGGATTTCTCTCTTGGCACTTTGATTTGCCTAGAGGAATTACTGACATTTTAAACCAGACCTGGACTCTTATCAATCAGAATGAAACGTGTGTGTGTGTGTGGGGGGGGATCATTAGAAAACTTGGGTGTCATGTTATAGATCTATAGTTAGCAAATTTGGGCTGGGGGGGTGGATGGTCACATTATATGTCTACAGTTAGCAGATATCGACTGTGAAATGTTGAAAAGTGAGATGTACATTTCTTAAATAGGCTAATTGAGATATGTTTTGCTGTAATGGCTTCTTGTAGCTTAATCGAATCTGGCTTTGTCAATATTTAATCAGTTCAATAGCATTTATCATTATTGATGGCAAACCATTTTTGAAGGCAACAATTTGATAATTTTGTGTTAAATCTTTTTTTTTCTTTTTCTTTTCCAGTCTTTTGGTAAAACGTAGTTCTCGTAGCACCGGATATCGACCTGATTGTAAGTTTCTTTCAATTAAAATTACAGGTGAAAACTTCTTCAGTCTTTGTGGTTTTGTGTTTTTCTTTGTTTATATATATATATATATATATATATATATATATATATATATATATATATATATATATATGGAGGCATGGTGGAGTAATGGATAGCGGCTTGGATTGAGTAATTGCAGAGCAGAGTTCAAATTTCTGTCGAATCCATTACATTAACTTACATGCTAATACTCTTGGGAAAAGTATGAATCCTTTTCCTCTCCCTCCAGCTATGGGTAAAATAGCAGGACAGACTGGGTTCTATAGCCTTGGATGGCAACTGGTCTAGGAGAAGGACAACTCTGAATTCAAAACCTGCGGAGGGTCGTTTGGGGACCTTGTGGCACTCGATGCACCAGGTCTTTGTATTCGTCCCTTCAAAAAGTGTGGATGGTCCTGCACGAAGCCGTCACCACTATAATTAAATCTCATGTGTCGGGCTGTCGGTTTCTTGGAAACTGATCTGCTTGACCCTCATACGTCAAATCTCGACTAATATATATATATATATATATATATATATATATATAATTATTTAGGGTTGTTAAAAATGAAATGGGCAGTCAAGATTTGATTAAAAAGACATAAATTCCCCTATGAAAGCTCATTAAAATTTTTGAGTTGTGTTGTCATATCCTGCTATGGCAACATAAAATGACCATAACTGGAATTAAGTAGTGCAGTAGAGGAGCTTTGAAAAAGCAATGCAGTTGAAAGGAAAGTAAGGAATAATGTAGTTTTGTGTTAAAAGATTAAGCGATGTGAAATTAGCAAAATTTATAGTTTTTTTTCTGCTTTGCTGTTTAAGCGTGTTTGCTTCCCTTGTTATTTTGCAATGACATTTTGTTAAAAATATTTCCAACTTAAGAGAAATGTTTACATTGCTGTTTTTATAATTTTTTTTTTTTTTTTCTCTCTCTCTTTGCAGTTACTGGATTTGAAATTCCTGATGAATTTGTTGTCGGTTATGCACTGGATTACAATGAACACTTTCGAGATTTGAGTGTGAGTCTACAAAGTCATTTTCAAACAATTACACCTGGTTGTGTTGGGGGTGAGGAGGTTAAAGGGTTTTATGTCTTTATGTGAATTCTTATCCTGAGGTTGGTGGGGGGGGGGACAAACAGTGACTAGTTACCATATTGGAAATTAGTTATAAATGAAAAGGAACTTTTCTCTTTTTTTTTTTTGTCTTCTCTTCTGTTTTTTCACACTTCTCTTTTTCTCTCTCTTCTCTTTTTCTCTCTTTTACTCTCTCTTCCCTCTTTTACTCTCCTCCCTTTTTTTTAAAATGGGTATAATATTAGGTTTTAAGGTTTGAATGAATGTGGGAATTTGTCATATTTTAGAGCACTGATTCTCAACCGTTGTGTCATGAAATATTGTCACGGAATTAGTAATGCTACTGCATTAGTATTTGAATAAATGAATAAATATTGAACTATGTTTTTCTTTGATTAGGTTATTTTAAATACTTTGTTTTAAATCTGTTTTTATTTCATAACATTTAAATGTTATACTCTTTTAAAAATTTTGCTAATTGTACCATGATATTTTCATTAGCTCTGAGGTGTGCCATTGCTTAAAATGGTTTAGAAATACTGGTTTAGAGACTCGTAACTGGGATTTATGATTCAAACATGGGTTCAAAAAAATTGGAATTATCTAGAAATCTGAAATCCATACCACCAGAGGTTAATGTGGTTTTAAAGTAATCTAAATTATATCTTAGTCACTTTGACTCTTAAAATAGTCCAGTCTTTTACGTATTTTTAAGAATGGTTGTAAAATATTGGGTTAAATTTTACTGAATTTAACAAATAATTTGTGACAATTTTTAATAAATAACATTTTTCATTAATTTGGTCATGAGGGGAAAAATTTGTATGTTTTGTCTACTTATATATCATTTATTTTATATATGATGGACTCTCCTATCGAGTTTGATGTATGAGGTTCCATTGACTACAAACTAATTATCTGCATGCCTATGACGGACATGACTTTCGAGACCGGCTCAAGAATTGCACAAACAGTACAGGAGAATGGATTGTATCCAAGTGCAGCAGGAACGCTGTTAGCTGTCTTATACTTCTTTCGTGTTTCGTGTAGGCGACTGATGCTTACTTCTTGATGGTGCATTATTCCTGAATGGCAGAAAGAACGATACTCTGATATCTTCATAGCTACCTCTTCAAAGTTCTTGAATGGAATGTTGACGCAAGAAAGTTTCCTTTTCAGTTTATCTTTATACATGATCCAAGGTCTACCAACATTTCTATGACAACTGTGGAGTTCATTGTAAAAAAAAAAAAAAACTTTTGGTATGTGATCATCACTCATCCTTGCCACATGGACAGCCCAACGCTGTTGTAATTGCACTATGAACATCTCGGTGTTACCAATCTTGCATTTCTCAAAAAGGTCGGCATTTGACATTCTATCATCAAACTTTAGGCAACAGATTGTATGGAGACAACCCTTAATATTTAATAATTTATATTTATATATATATATATATATATATATATATATATATATATATATATATAAATTTACAATACTTACATTTATTAGAACTTTTTTTAATAATTTCACCCCAAGCAAGGTAGTTAAGCAGTGATGACAAAAAAAAAAAAAAAATTGAGAGTGAAGACAACTCAAGTTAACAATTGATATTGCATTTAATTTTTTGAAAGATCAAAGTTGACTGGGAAGCAAGGAGCAGGAAGAGAGTTCCACAAGCAAGAAGTGCAAGAGAAGAAACTGTTAACATAGAATTTACGGCAACATCAAGCCAATTCAACTGTAAAGCGATGCAACCTTGTTGCCAATCTGGTACTTTGGTTAAATTCATAAAGTCTAGGTACCAGAGAGGAAAGCTCATCAGAAATATTACCATGAAAGCATTGTTTTCATCTTGATTATTATAGACATGACACCTCTGGTTCAACAGGAACAAACCGAGACAAGTTAACATTATCAACAGTTATCCCATTTCTGCCAAGAATAATGGACACCTGAAGATGGCCAGACAGTATTCGGCTGAAACGTTGTCTATAATGATTATAAAATAATTGGAATAAAATAAAAACTTTTTTTTTTCTTGGCCAATATGTTCGATGGAAATAGGGTATCAAGTGCTGGAAATCAAATGAATGTTTTATGTTGAAAGAATTAGCACACTAAAATTATTTCACGTCTTTTTCATGGGTGGGGTGATGGCGAGTGATTTTTCTCTGGATACTACCCTATCCCCAGAGACGGGCCTGATGATAAAACTTAGCAAATTTTGACCTTAGTAACTCTGTTCATTTTTGTAACAACAAATAAAATGGTTCAGTAATTTCTTTCCAAACATACATTTACAAAGGGAGATAATCGAGGTTAGTAAAAAGAAATCTTTCAAACAAATTTGATAGAAGGATATGAATTAAAACTCATAATGCACAAATAATTCCTCTGTTCTTGCATTATACTTTTTTCTTTTTATACATTTGAAATACTGTATACAGCATGGAAGAATCTCCTGACCTTTAATATAGTGTTAATGTAGTGAGGCTAGGTACAAATACAGTAGGAAGTACAAGTTTAATTAGTTTCCAGGTTGAGCTTGTATTGCAAGTTGCACGTATTACAAGGCATTTTTTCCCACTGAAATTAATGGAACATTAATTAATCTGTTTCATTTTCCCAAAAGCATCCAAAATGTCTATTTTAGAATTTAAAAAAAAAAAAATAGAAAATAGACAATAAGAAATTAAAGTACGTAAAAGAAGAACACAATAAGAGAGAATGAAAGAAATGTTGTTGTGTTTATTAAACTAGAAACCTTTCATAAGAATTTAAGGACTTTTGTGGCATTTGATTTGCTTTTGGCACTTGCAGGTCATTTCTTTAGAAACTTAATACAAATATGTTTTGTTCTTGATTTCAAAAAAAATAGTCAACACAATTTTTATTGAACAAAGCAGCCACACGACTTGCATTTAATTTTTGTGGGTGGTATTTTTCCACAAAGTCATGCGCTTTTTTTTTATACATCACCAAGACTTCTTCAGTCTCAGACACGCTTTCCTCGTTTACCTCCTCCATGTTCTGATGCTCCTGAAGCAGCTGAAGTTCCTCTGTTCAGCTTCTTTCTGTGCTCATCCATGTCAACCTCGAAGCCAAAAGTCTTGGTAGGCAAAGGGAGGCAATTGATAGCTTTGGTAGGGGACGTTATCTGTGATAAGTACTTCAAGGAATTTTCTCCAATAATACAAATAAGTGTTCTGGACGCCATGCGTTCAAATGCACTTCACCTTGCCTTTGACCTTGTTGTTTCTTAGAAATAGATAACGTCAGTTGACAATGCTTCCCTTTACTTCAGTCATTGACTGGTTCTGTGTATATGACGGCTGCTCATACTGCAAATTTTTACTTGTCCTATGATGCAAAAATGCTCACAAGTGGCAAAGAAAGTTGCTCGTATAATGGTGCACGCATACTACAAGGTTCTACACGACAGTCTATGGCATCTGGGTAATCATGAGCTTATCAGATCTCTGAACTTTGTATGTAAACCTCGCCTATTTACATTTAATATTCCAGTATTATAGAGAGAGGCTAGGTACAAGTATTGGTAGTCTGTCACCTGGGTAAACCTACAAGATACCTCAACTATGTTTTTTGTTCTTCTGTGGTTTGTGATCATGTATGTCCTTGAATGTTTTGCCCTTTCTTTTAGTATTTGCTTTTTAAAGACTTTCAAGTTATTATTTTTTTTGTTCTTCTCTTTTCAATTGTGATTTCATTTTCTCTTTCAGCACATATGTGTGATCAGTGAATCTGGGAAAAAGAAATATGCTGTATCATCTTAGATGAAAAGAACAATTAACAGAATTTGGTTAGAAGCCAACAAAAACCAAAGTCATTTTTTTTTTTTTTTTTTTTTTTGCGGATCTCTCTCTCTCTACTTTAAATTCTGTTAGCGCCTTACCTGGGCCAGCCATTTACTATCTTAGCTCTGCTATTGACACGAGTAAAACAAAGCAGTTTGCTTCCTCTCCGCTATAGATCTCTGCGTGTGAATGTAAGAAAGAACTTCAAATTTGTTACATTTTATGGCATTTGACGAATGCTATTTTGCCTAATAAATTAGTTTGGCCTTTTTAATATTCCCATGTTGGTAATATGACATGTAGTGTTAGGACATCAACTATTGTTGCTTGTGGTTTGGTGACGTAGAAACACTTGTCTTATTGTTTTATGACAGACAGACAAGAAGATTTGAACTGGAACCAGAAAAGCTTTAATTTTGAAGGATTCAAAATGAGAAAAAAAATGTTACATTATGACCAAAGTTTTGATCTGCAGAACATAATGTCGAGATATTATTCAACACAGATTGTATATTTTACACATATTTGTGTGTGTGTCCCTAACCAAGTTTTTGTTAAATTCAATTGACAGAATCTGATTGTTTTCTATTTTTTATTCTATTTTTTCATGTTGTTAATGTCCAGAAAAATGTGGTCAGAATTATGGATAAATGGCCTGAAGTTCATGTTTACTGTTTTTGTTCACATACTTTTGACTCTCTTGTCCATATCAAGAATTGGGTGTGGTAGATAAGGTTGTGTTGACTACATCTTCTGGCTTCTTTCTTTTTGAAATACAATTGTATGGCACTTGTATATTTGAATTTGAAATGCAACATTCCAAGATGAAGCCAAAAAAAAATCTGGCTCATCAAACTGATGACAACTGGGTTCTTGATAATAACTGAGACAGTTAAAATTACTTAAACAAAAACCAAAGAAAATCTGAGGTTTGGACAATTTATCCACAATTTTGGTTTGGATGGATAACATCTTATTTGAAAATTGGGAAAATAGAATGTGAGATTAAACATTGAGGTTGTTTGTTAAATTTAAAATAACTTGCCTGTATGAATTCTTGCTGCATATATATATATATATATATATATATATATATATATATATATATACACACAATGAAAAATGTGACGTAGTGTTGTTATCAGATCAAACTATCTTAATTCATTTCCGTTTTCATGACTTGTTTGTTATCAAGGGCATGTTTTCATATACTGATAGAGCAGAGATTCGCTCTAAATTTAGCAGATTGTGTGTGAGTGAAGAGTTGTATTTCTGTGTTAACAATCTCAATCATATTGTAACTGCAGATGACAAAGGCCACTTAGGTATGATACATAACTATGACTTGTGGAGGGGGGGTGTTTGTGTTTTAACTCTTTGACTGGTGGCTACACCCTTTGAATTGAGGGCAAAGTTGTTGTGATTGCAGAGACAAAGATTGTGTGTGTGTGGTAGGTTGCATTTATTTTTCTCCCTCAACATACCCTCCAACTCTCTCTTGTTCAGTTTTATACTTCTCACTCTCTCTCTCTACCCCCCACCCCACTGGCAATTGAAAACCAAAGGTTTGACAAGAGAATCAATTTTTTTTTTTTTTTTTCAAAGAAAAGAAATTTGAAACATCATTAAATGTGGTTCTGTTTGTATACTGAAAAAGATAATTATATATATATATAAGAGCGAGAGGAGAGTTAACATATCCAACATTGTTTTGGTACCCGATCTCTTCTTGATATTTGCTTTTAACGCGATATTTTGCTGATCTGTTCTTTAAATCTTGTCAGGTGAAATATGTAAAATATAGACCTGAAGAATGGGTCGTTTAAAACAGTGTGTCGGCAGCAGTGAATATAGAAAGATATGAGTGTCAAAATAGCTACCAACAGTTAAATCTTGTATAAACTCAAGTGTGTGTGTGTATATATATATATATATATATATATATATATATATATATATATATATATATGGAAAGTAACTAACCATTGTATATGCAACCATTCCCCACCCCCTCTGGTTGAATGGTAATCATATTCTTCCAGACTATTGTTCGAACTTAGTGAAAATAAAAAAAATTTTTCATTTCAAAATTCTTTAGTTTTGTCATTCTTTTAAGAAAATGATTCTCTAAAAGTTGACATTTGCCATTCCTTGGATGTTGGAATCTACTGATAAATAGTAAACAAAAATTTTTTTCAGTTTTTTTTTTAAATCCTTTCACCCCAAGTAAGGCAATAATACCACTGAGGTGCAAGGGATTACTGGAAATGAAAGAATGAGAGAACAAGGAGAAAGGACAGTGAAAAAAAAAAAAAGTAGCCTTGTTTAACCTTCATGCCTGCAAAAATGCTGTATCAAAAGTATGGTTATTCCCGTAACACCACAATTATTGTAAACACTTTTGACTCCCCTGGCAATGTTTTTTGTTTTAGAAATTGATGTTTAAAATTTTAATAAAACCTAAACATATCTAAGTAGATTTATACATTTTCTTTATTCCTGAGAACTGACAACAAAGATGTTAAACATTATTTACTAGATTATTTGCAAGAATAATTTTATATTTACAAAATTATAAAAATATGTTAGCCAACCATAATGAAATATATATTATTTACCATTTTATAAGGAAACAAATATAAAAAGGAATATCAGTGTCACTGCATCACACTTTTTCAACATTACTCCTAGAGTTTGTAGCCGAACATATACAATTTTAGAATCAGGCCGACTCTGAGCAAATTAAAAACGTTCTGGGCCGGATACAGACCTGCAATCCTGAAATTTTGAATTCCCAAGTTTTCATTACTGTGACTGTTCTTGGTGATATTATTTTTAATTATGTGATTTTTTTGTGACACATTTTAACATTATTTACATTATTCGGACTATTGTCCTCATCTTTGTCGCCATATTTATCACAGCGTTTCGGCCGTTGTACGCTCCGGCCTTCTTCAGGTGGTTGGAATGTCGAACTGAACCCTTTATTTTGCTCACTGGGGTAGACTGTTCTAGTTCCACGTGCCATGTTTTGGGAATAATTGAAATTAATTGCGAACTCCAACAAAAGTCACCCATGAAATAAAAATAATTGTACAGTAAGTAAGAACCTACGTACATCAAATTATCTTTAAATTAAATGTTGGCAGAAGAATTATCGTTGGACTTTTAAACGGTAAGCTTAGATATTAATGCAATATTTAAATGCATCGATCAATTTTGAGTTCTGTAGTTTATTGTTGCCTATTGCATATGGCAGCAGTATGCTTCACAAAAAGAAATCTCCGCCAACAGAGGACCAGATTCCAATCAAAAGAGCCAAAGCTGCAGTGAGGCAAAGAAAGTCCAATGCAAATGAAAACGCAGATCAATCAGCAGTCAGTAGAGCTTCACTTGCTAAGAATATGTAAAGACTTACAGACTCCTGAACAAGCCAAATGATTAATCAAGACCACTCCACAGAAGCTAGCTTAAATGCCTGAGAGGGCAGCTTTTAAACTAGTATGTTTAAATAAATATTTTATTTGAAAACGCAACAATCTTTTCTCTGTAAAGAAAAACCCGTGATAATTTCAGTTTTCCTATTTGAATTTTCTCATGAATTTTAATTCTTCAGTTAATGATTGAATAAGCTCATGGTGAGTTCTACGACAATAAAATATCCGTAGAAATTCCCCTAAATATTTGAGCTTAACAACCTTAACAAAACTAGAAAGACCCGTGATAATTTCACGATTTTCCTATTTGAATTTTCTGATGAATCTTAATTCTTCAGTTAATGATTGAATAAGCTCATGGCGAGTTCTACAACAATAAAATATCCGTAGAAATTCCCTTATCGCATCGTTAAATATTTGAGCTTAACAACCTTAACAAAACTAGAAAGACCCGTGATAATTTCACGGTTTTCCTATTTGAATTTTCTTATGAATCTTAATTCTTCAGTTAATGATTAATTAAGCTCTTGGCAAGTTCTACAACAATAAAATATCTGTAGAAATTCCTCTATTGCATTGTTAAATATTTGAGCTTAATTTTTTAAATTTTACAATTCAAAGCAGATTTTCTGCAACTGGGATCATTTTGAGCAAATATTCAAAAATAGATGATTTAAAAATTAGAGGACATGTCCTGAAAAATAATAACATTAAACCCTATAAAAATGAATTTCTTGGAATTTTATAAAATTAAACAAGTGGTGGTTTAACAGATAAAATAGTTTTACAAAGATTTTCTTTTTTAAAAAAAAAAAGATTTTCATTAATTTGTGAATAAGTTCTTAATGTTTCATTAAAATATAACGAGTATTAGATTTTTGTAAGAATTTCCAAATCAATGTTTTTTCACTGCAAAAAAAAAAAAAACACTAAAATTTCCCATACTAATTTAAGGTCACCTGGTGATGAAAGAAAAACAAAATTTTAATCATTCTAAAAAGGATAAAAAAAAAAAAAATTTAATAAAATTCTGCTTAATTTTCAGTTTAGCACCCACACTAAGTTTGCAATAAAAATTTCCAGAATACTCAATTGAAGCAGGTACAACTACACATAAATGTAATAAGTATTCTAGAAATTTCTGTTAACTTAATGCAGGTGCTAAACTGCAAATTAACCAAAATTCTTTGGTCTTTCTTCTTAAAGATATTGACGATAAAACTTTTTTTTTTTGTTAAGCTCCTGGCATTTTTTCATTATGTATGCTCATCTTTTACTGAATCTTTGGAGGAACCTAATTATATATGCATACATACAGGAGGCTGTAAGAGTAGGTATGCAGTACATATTAAAATAATGTTTCTGGGAGCTATTTAATATTGGGGTACATTAAAATCAATTTTAATATTTTTATGATTAATCAAGAGCCCGACAGAAGCTAGCTTAAATGCCGCCTGATAGGGCAGCTTTTAAACTAGTATGGTTAAATATTATTTTATTTGAACACGCAACAATCTTTTCTCTGTAAAGAAAAACCTGGGA